AGATTTCATCTCTACTTGTAGTCTTGTACAATGCTTCATTCATCAACCAGTCAAAATGGCCAGAATTTCCACCACAAGACCCAACTTCATATCTGAAACAATCTCCATTCTCCGGGAGAATCCAAGGGAAACAGATCCATCAAAAAGATACATTCAAACAAAATGAGTTTAAAAGTCTAGTCTCCATCATGGAATTCAATAGTAATAAACTCGATGTCCATGCCAATTGCTATACTAAGCTGATCTGATCCCAATGTCTGTCAGAATAGAGCTAATCACAAGCTAGGCAAGAGCAGCAGAAGGCCAACGAGCACCTGTTCTACACACTTACTGCACCACAACAAAGAGAAAAATCAAAAGAATCTTATAGTATAACATTCTGCAGGATCTACATATCGAAAATTGTTAAGGATAAGAAACAGGAGAGCAGAGGAAAACTATGTCCATAACCCATTACTATTCTTTTAGTGTACGGTACCAGCTTCGCGTGCACATCAAGGCATTTCCCAAGTCTGGCTTCAACCGAATTATATGTTCGTTAACTGGCCTTGGTTCGGTATAGAATGATGCCTCATATGAAGTTGCAAGAGAAACTGAAACGGCCAGAAAATCACGCGCCATCTTCGAAAGGGTAGGATACTTAGCGCCTGTAGTTCTCCACCAAGTCAATGCACTAAAATCCTGGCTCTAAGGTAAGATAGGTTCCTCCAAATAGCAATCCAAGTCTGATTTTTTTGTAGGCTGATTACTCCATTGGATGAACTGGTAGTAGTCTTTCAACACACCAAAAATATGATTCACTCAATGTCAGAAGCACTGATGATGCACTCTTCTACAAACTCAATGTGACACTTTCCAAGTCTTTTGAGTTCATCTTAAAACATTCATAAAAGCACTAATGAAGACAAAGTCAAAAAATTAAAAATAATATTATGAAGCTTTAGTGAATAGTAAATGAAGCGATGTTGAAACTCTAAAGAATCATTTTGAAGCGTTTACGAAATTTTGGTGGCAAACAAGGACTGATGTAGCATTGCAATTATGACTTGTGCCATTTCTCTATTATTTGTAAAATTTATAATCTTTAAAATTCATAAAAATATACATAAAATTACTATAAGTTCCTGGGAACAACTCTTCATATTTGAATTGTCAAAGGAACCAAAGCTTTACACAAGGGCCTGCACAAATTAGTTGCTTTTTCAATAACAAGATACAATATTGAAAAGACGGGAGATTTCTCGTATCCAATCTGCACATGTTTCAGTTATTTAGAAGAAAAATATATCAAGTGTTTAAACAAGAATCATACCATAGAGATGGTAGGGCAATAAAAGATAAACACAAGAGTTGTCAATTGGTTATCTGGGCAAAAAATTGGCCATTTGAAAGATCTTGAAATTTGTTAAAGTGTTTACAAGACGTTGCGCTTGATTTTAGAGAGAGAGAGAGAGTCCTCTTATGATGCTGTAGAGCCTCTATACTTATAGGCAAGAATCCCTAATGATGAAAGCTAGAGGAGGTTACTTGGATGTTTGTCCAAAGTCAGCTGTTGATCCGTCCTTGTGAGCCAATCAACAAGTATGCTTTCTTGCTGAGAGAGACGGCAGTCAAGTCACTCTTAATGGCGAGAACCCATCTTCAGGCTGTCACGTGGGTCAATGGATAAGAGTTACTCATTTTTCTAACTTTAGTGTGGGTCAAAACTTGGGTCTTTTCGCAAAATGGGCTTTTGAATGGGTTTCGCCCATTGCTGGTCCCAATCTAAAAAAGCCATTTTCGTTAGTTTAAAAGAAAGAGGTGTATGCTCTTGGAACTAGCTCAAGTAGCGGAGAAGGTGTTTGATAAAAATTGGTTAGGATTAGATTAAGTTAAGATTTCGATCCATTCCATGCAGGTGATGCTAATGTGCGTTCAAGCCCAACCCACTACGGCTACCGCACAAAATCAGATGGATTTTGACTGGTAAAGGTATTCTCAAGGAAACTGACTTTTTGGACTTTATTTACTCTGTTTAAAATTGGCTTTCTGAAAGGGAAGATTTGAATGACTGATGAAACCGAGAATATGATTATATGTCAAATATTATATTGTTGTTTTTCAAATAGCATTCGTCTTCTGTCAAATATATAATGACAAATAGCATATTTGGATAATGAAATTTGTTCTTTTTCTTCCTTTTCAAAGTTACTAGGTTTAATTGTAACCGAAAAAAAAGTTACTAGGTTTAATTTGTGCTTGCACACAATAAATAATTTATTCTCCATTTAGCTTAACAAACTTATTAATGGCACTCTCTGCATATTTTCAGGATTGATACTCAATCAAATACAAGGAGATTTCAACCCCTCTTTCGTGTATGAGCCCTCATAAAATGACATTTATATGCTTTTGTTGAAGAACTTTACGAAATATTCATTACATTTTTGTATTGTTTTACCCCACGTTGCATTTCAGTATCTTCTTGAGGATGTTGCTTTGGAGCCCAAACGGTTGAATAAAATCCCTGTAGGTCAGGAGTTCATGCTTTTTTTTTATCTTTTACAGGTAACTTTTTACTTGATGTGGATAACTATATCATTCTAGCCATGACATCGATTGAGGAGCCAATATATTTAGCATTGGAATTTAAAATTAACTTTAGAATTCTTCATTAATTCTCAGGTCCAGTGAGATCTATTTCTTTTACTTTCGAGGTTTATATTTTTTTATAACTCAGGTGGGTTTTCTGGTAATGCATCTTCAGCCCCTGAATCAAGAAATTGTAAATTCTCCAGTAATGTGTTGATTCATGCAGTTGACAAACTCGGGAGCTTCTTAAGGCAATTTCCTCTTTTTCCAAATGCTTTTCTGGTTGGTGGTGCAGAAGACTTCTTTATTATTGAACTTGCAGATCAGGTAAATTTTGAAGCACTCTGTGCTGCAAGTACTTTTGTTGAGTTTTTTTTTCTCACATTGCATTGAATGAGGTCGATATTTTCTTTATTGGTCAGCTTCAAAAACTGAAGGTGGAACCAGCACATGAAACTTCTCCAGGGTAATATTTTAACCAATTTTTAGGCTTAAGATTTAAGGCATCATGTGAACCTGGTATTATGGTGGCTTCAGATTATCAACTTATTTATTGTGGTGCTAATTAATTAAACTCAAGTTAATTGTGCCTAATGAACCACAACTGTAATAATTTTAGTTGTAATATATATGTGTTTGCGTGTCTATTTGTTTTTTGGTATATAAGCAGACCGCTGTCTCGCATCATGCTGAGGCTGATAGATAATTTTGATGACTTAGAACTTTATGATACACAAGGACAGAGTTGTAGGAACTGTCTTCGCTCACAATTAACATGTCATTGTCCTCTGAATGAATTTGAAAACAAACCAGTCTTCGCTTCATATCCTCATATTTTCATGTTTCCATGTTGGTATGAGAAAAGGAAATGTAACACAGGTGGTGATTTCTGTTGGGGTCCATATTTTTTATATTCCTTCATATCCAAAACAGTGTTGCAACGGATTAATTAATTGAGATTCTGTCTTATCTCACATGGAAAACCAAAATTATATAGGTTCTGCTGCATGCTAAATTTGCAGCTCAACTCTTTCATCTATGTTACTGAGTCTTTGGAGCTCATTATTAGACTGTTGTTTATAGAAAGTTTGATGATTTGCAGCATTAGTGACTTAGACAATTAAGGCACAGTGATTATCATCCATAGTTTTGACTTTGGTTTTTCCTTTTATATTCCCTATAAATTAATTTTAGTGAGAAATCTGGATTTCTACTTCAGAAGGTTGGTTCTAGAAAATGCAAAATCCAAATATTATGAAGCGTGCACCGGAGAAGATCCTCTTTTTTCTTTTCCAAATTATAAATAGTCTATTATATTAGTCTGATGTTTCATACCCCCAACTTATCTTTTATAGTTAATGTTCCATTTGTGTTTTGCAGGCCTGAGTCATTGGGTATTATTGTTGGAATTGTTTTCTTCGCCTTGGGAATCTTATTCTAGTATTTCAACTTCATTGCAGATTCAAATGTAAGATTGCTCTCTTTCATTGAATACAAGAACATAACTTTATTTCAATTTACAATTTGTTGCTCAGAGGTGAAACTGTTTATTTTTGGTGAAACATGAGAATTCCTGTTTGTTTATTATCTGTTTGCCTACTTTTTAAATGTAGTTATTTACATAGTTAAGGGCGTTAGTGAAAAAACTGTTCCCACCAATTGAGGGGTAGGTGATGAGTACATTTTGTTCAAACCCATTAGAGTTTACAAATGAAAGAGATGGAAAAAATTTGATGGCCTAATACTAATGTGGTGTTTAAATTTGGTGGCCTAATACTAATTTGATGGCCTTATCAGATGTTTTAGATGTAATGAACAAAATTATAACATATAGCCTGTTATTTCTGTCTTTATTCTACTTACATTAACACCTCTCATTTTCCAAATTTGTACCAACGGAGTTAAAACCTCTGCAGAGGACAAGAAAGAACATAAGCCACCTCTATAGCAGAGCTAACAAGAGAAAGAACCCCTTATAATAGAGATCAAAGCAGAAAAATCCTCTTCCACCACCCAGTAGCGTATATATAAAGACCTATCCAAACTCTTTTGAACAATGAGCAACTCAATATTGTCGATATTTTGATGTTTTGACTGCTATTTGATTTATTAAAATATAGTTAGTATTTTAATCATGACAAACATGTTATTATCCTATTTTTTGTAACTTAGACTTGCTAAACAGAGCATGATGCCACTATTTAGATCTCCATGTCTATATAAATAGTACCATCTTTTCTACATATTTTACAACTTCGTACACATTTCACATGGTTTTAAAACCCGCAGCATCGCACGGGCACCATTGCTAGTCCGTATAATAAATAAACTTACATAACCACCAACAAACTAGTGCCCGTTTCTACAACTTTATACAACTTTAAAAGATAGAAGAGAAATAAAAAAGAGCTCTTTTGGGTATGCTTAATGTGAGCCCAATAACACATTGTCACAGATCCGGGCGGTTATCTAGCGAGAACAATTATGTGAGAATCTTATGTGAGAACACCGTAGGATATAATCCAACAACTTCGTGAAAAGCAATTGTAAATGAAACAGTTGTACTAGGTTGTACTAGAATGAGTCCCTCAACTTGTTCTCTCTCCTCCCTCCTTCCTAAACAGCTGTTCAACTTTCTCACGCTCCCTCTCTTCTTTCTCTGCCCTCTTAGTTTCTCTCCTTTCAAACTCCTTTTATGTATTTCTCTCTCAGTTTCTCTGCGTCGATCTCCCTCCTCCTCCTCATCTCTCTCTCTCTCTCTCTCCCTATCACAATTCAAAAATGGAGGCCCAAAAGCCGTATTTACTACTCTCATTTGATATCTCTTTCATTTTCCTCTTCGTTGTGCCCCTCTCTTTTCGTGGTGGTGGAGGAAAATGTAGTAATCTCGCAAAGTCATACTGGTGCTCAAAGATTGGATTTTTACTGCTAGCCATCTGGTTGTTCCTGCCGTTCTCTATCTGCATCAATATCTTTAATTATGACTTGTTTTTTTTTCATTTTTGATTACTTGTTTTTCAATTTCTTTTCTTCATCAATTAATTTGGTCTGTTTGGTTTTGGTTCGAATTTGTCCTCTTTAGGCCATCTCCAGTCATAGGGCTAAATGTAGTCCATGGCTAAAAATTTAGCCCTCCAAAATATTAATTTTTTAAAGAATAGTATGGGACTAAAATTTTCCATCTCTAGTCATGCAGGGCAATATTTTAGGGTCCTTCATATTTTATTATTTTGAGAAAAACTATGGTACAACACATACATTCCACAACTATATATTGTTTAATTTAATTAAACTACTATTTAGAGACAATATTCCATGACCAAGAATTTTTTATATTTTTTTTAAACAACACTTAAAACATTTGAAAAAGTGACTACATTCTTTTTTTTAAAAGGATGGGTTTTAATGGTTTGACATCCAATGGTCATGACCAATAATTTTTTATAATTTTTTTACGAATTGAAAATATTTAAAAAGGCTTTTAAATATATAAATGTATATATATATATATCAGTCCCCTTCTATTGAGGGATCCCTCAAATAATTTTATTTGAGGGACGCCATTTAGGGCACCCTACAATTTTTTTCTCGATGATCCACATCATCTATTTTTTAGGTCTTCATTCATAGATCATCCTTACAAAAAATTAGACAAATCGGAAACCGTTTCGACATCCAATTGTGTCTTACAAAATCAATGAACACAGTACTTCAAGAAAGCACTAAAATTTCAATAACTCAATTGAGTGTTCAAATGATATCAGATTCAAGTGATTTTTTTTGTAGAGATGATTTTTGAATGAGTATCTACAAAATAGACGGTTTGGATTAGTGAAATACAATCCGAAGTGGGCCCTACAAGCAGTGTCCCTCAAATAAGCTTATTTGAGGGATCCCTCAATGGAAGTTCTCTGTATATATATATCCAGCTGACATCATCAATGAAAAGCTTATGCATGGAGCTCACAAAAAATTTGGCATAGGATTAGGCCAAAGCTGGGCTAAATGTGGCCCGGTTGGTGGGCTAAAGGGCCAAATGTGGCCCTCCAAATTTGGCCAAAATTTTGTTTAGCCCATGACTAGAGATGACCTTAATTAAATTTGGTAGGCCTTGTTTAAAATTGTAATTGGCTTTGAGATTGGACAAAGGTTGGCTTTCGTGATTCTGTGAAGGTTAGTAATCAAGGTTTTAAAAAAATCTTAATCTGTAAGTGTATGTATAGTTATATAGTGTATGGTTCAAATGGATGATTATGATTGGTGTTGTTTGTTGTGATTGCCTTAATTGCTATGGTTGCGGTGATTGCTGAAAAAATATGTGCAACTAAATGTCTTTGGCTAGTAAATGAGAAAATAGATAACCCCACCCAATTGGTTTTTTAATTATGGATTTTTGTCTACTATTTGGCTTTCTAATGCTCTCCTTCGTTCTCTATGCAGGTTGTTTTTCCCCTCCAATTTGCATTTGCATTGCAAAATTATTAAGCTGAGAACAAATGTTTAAGTTTATTGTTTTTAAGAATGAAGTTCGTTAATTATTTTTATTTTGAGTTCAGTTCTTCTCTTGAATTTTAAGTTCTTTATTGCCATGTTTCAACTTCTTGATGTAAAAAAAAATTGGAAATTTTTATTTTTACCCAAATTCTATTACTTGGAGGACGTATACAATGTACATACATGCTACTTGGTCTTCCAATGCAATCTTGACATTTGTCTCAATTTTCCTCTGTCATTTCTACATCATAATAAACCCATGTGTCATTATCTCATAGCGCCACATGTCATTAATGTTTCATTTTTGTGAGTTTATCTTAAAAAAATTACGAAAAATCATTAAAAAAATCAGAAAAATACATCGAAAATTTCTACATATTCCTTGCAACATTATCTTCGACTATGATACTCAAAAATCAAAATTTGACTTGAAAATTTTAAAGTAATAATTGGAGGAAGAGTTATACTCATGAAGACTAGTGATCTTCAACTTAGTGTTGTTGTTAGTATAGAAGCAAACTTGATTTTGTGAAATTATTTGAAATTTTCTTTTAGTCAAAATTATATTTTAAGTCTCAAAAGATGTTGGAAATGTCGCAAGAAGTCTGGGGTATTTTTTGGTGAAATTTTCAGATTTATAATGAATTTATTATGATTTTTGGAAGTCAAAATATTAGACATGGCAGCACCTGATAGGTGCGTCGTCAGCTTTTCCAATGGGTGTCAGTATCTCCTAGCACCACATGTCATTAATGTTTCATTTTTGTGAGTTTATCTTAAAAACTTTACGAAAAATCATTAAAAAATTAAAAAAATACACCGAAAATTTCTCCATATTCCTTGCAACATTATCTTTGATTATGATACTCGAAAATCAAAATTTGACTTTGAAAAATTTGAAGTAATAATTGGAGGAAGAGTTATACTCATGAAGACTAGTGATCTTCAACTAAGTG